CCCCCCCCCCCCCTCCCCCTCCCCCCCCACCCCCCCCTCCCCTCCCTCCTGTGATCACCATGACCAGAGGACACGATCATGATCGATCATGATCACAGCCACAGTGATCGCCACCTCTCCCCCCTTCCCCTCCCCCCCCCCAACTACCCCTACGCAGCATGCAGGCGCTGGTCACGGTGCGGAATGAGAGTGCAGAGCTGGAAAAGGCTCCGGCACATCGACGACTGGATGTTGTGGCTGAGGAGCTTGTGGACGGTGCGTGTGGGACGGCGGCGGCGGCAAGGGCTTGGCCCGGCCTCGGCGCTGACGGCCGGGTGGTGGCCTGGTCCGACACCGGGGTGGTGGCGTACGCCTGCGAGGCCACTGAAGACGGGTCTGGAGCGGGCGAGGTCGCCAAAGGCAAGGCACAGGCAAAGAGTGAGCGGAGCGTGTGCGTGGTCCAGCCGGGCGAGCCGGGCGAGGTCGCCATCGTGGCCACGGGCCTCCGGGCAGCCATTCGCTGGCTCGCCTGGTCCCCTCTCGGCACGCGGCCGCGACTGCTAGTTGTTGATGACGACGCCATGGTTACTGTCCTCTCCACGTCTACACAGCACAGTGCATCCGTCAACGAGTGGATCGTCTCCAAGCCCGAGTCGCTTGCCGAGTCGGTCGGTCCCGTTGCCGCAGTCGCCTGGCTCAGCTGCCCCGGATGGCTGCATCTGCCCAAGCCGAGCCGGAGCCCACCGAGCTCATCAGCCCCCATCCCCGACTGGACGGCCGAAATGGCCCGCGATCCCCAGCGAGGGCCCGGGGAGCAGTACACGATGCACGACATAGTTGCGTTCATCGGCATCTCGGGCGTTTTTGCGCAGTATGTCGTCGAAAATGGCACGCCTCGCCTCAACTCGTCGATTATCCTCCCGGTCCAGCATCGCATGACGCAGGCCGCCATGGTCGGCACCACTTCAGGCGGTGTCCGAGTTGCCTGGGCCGACACTTCGCGCGCCGTCACCGTGTGCAGCATCTCTTATTCGAATCTCCTGCCGTCGCTCTCTCATCTTGTCGGGACCTTTACCGCCTCGGCGCCGCCGCTGGCCGGGCCGTCGTCCAAGATTCACATTCCGGCACCGGCCATCGTCACCCACATGGCTTTTCACTCTGCAGAGCCCGGCCTCCTCTACACGGTCACGTGCAATGCCGCGAGCGAGTCGCGCCTCGAGCAGTGGCGGGTCGGCTCGCTCGAGGGGACCTTGCCGCCCGAGGCGCAGCCAGCACACGAGCCTGGGGCACTCGACGATCCACTGGAGACCTTTCTGTCTGGCATCACGTCAAGCGCGCCGCCGCCAGCTCGCCTCCACTTTCTCGACTTTTCAAGCCAGGACGACACGATTGTCGATGGCGCCGAGCCCAAGCCGAGCTTGTCGCTCGTCGACGCGCTCGCCGGGCGAGTCACTGCGCTAGTCGTCTCAGACCCGCTCTATGCTCGCGCCGATACCATTCCTATGGCATCCGTGGCGGTCGGCCTCGGATCCGGTGCTGTCCACATCTTTGACGCCGACAACCTTGCCAAGCTCGACGTGGCCAATCCGGCGCGCGTGCCACCGCCGGCCGCGTCCAAGAAGCGAAAGGTGCTCTCCGGGCACGCCGATGCAATGGCCGCAATTGCCCATGCCCACCCCTACACCTCTCCACCGAGCACACCGCTGGCGCTAGCATTTGCGCCATGTAGTGGCGCGCTGGTTGCACTCGACGCCGCCGACGCACTGCATTTCTTCGCCCACCCTGCAGTGCTGGCACCAGCGGTGCCGGCAACGTCTGCGCTTACCAGCGCCTTTCTCGCCGCCATTGCCAACCGCGTCGAGTTTTGGGATCTTGTCTTTCTCGCCCGCGCCTATGCACTGAACAACACGGCTGGCGCAGGAGTCTTTGTCCGCGGTGTCATCACCGACCTCGCCGCCGCCCTCGACCGGCTCCCTGACCCGGTCCGCCGTGTCCACGAGCCGGCAACTCTCGCGGCCATTGTCTCACTCCTCCAGCTCCTCGAGAACTCTGAAGTTGCGATCATCAACGCGCGGTCGAGCATCCTCCTTCTCTACATGCTTGATGTCATCGAGCGGGTGAGCGGGCCAATGGCCCCATTCCATGAGGCGCTTGCCAGTGATTACGCGCTCTTGGCATCAACTAGGCAGTCTTGGGCGCGGATGCCGGCAAGTAGCGCAGGCTCAACGACCGGCGCCGACCTGGTCCCTGTGCTCGAGGACGAGCGACTCGGCGACATCAACATGTACTGGCATTTTTCGCAGTATGATGCCCTCTCGCTCATGCATATTGTCAACTGGACGCTCCAGTTTGGCCTCTTTCTCATTTCCAACCTGCGACGGTACGCGACTGTGGCCGAGGCCGAGCCGTCGCAAATTCCGCTTGTCGAGGTTGTCACCAGCGAGCAGGCGAGCAAGGCACTCGCCCGCTTCCGCGAGCTCCTCCTCCTTGTCGCGCTTCTCCTGCGTGACCCGAGCATCATCGATTGTGACGTGGTCAAGCAGCTATGGCAGTATCGGGCGTCGCCGCAGTATGCGGACAACATGTACCACGTGGTGAGCCAGCTGTATGTCCTCTCCCAGGCCGAGCGCGACGACAGCTCACGGCGTGCAGCGCTGCTGCACATACTCCGCGACGATGTCATTGCCCTCTTCTCGCCCTCGCCGTCATCGACAGACATCGACAAGGTCTTTCAGCGCCTCGACCTCCACCCGCACCGAATCGACATCCTTGCCACCGCGCCCACGGTCGGCTCGGCCTCGCCGGCGGGACCGTCCAAGCGCAGCGTCCATGCAAGTGAGCACGTCTCGTCGGTCATCCACCCGCCGTCCACTCCGCCGGCTCTGCCTCGTCTTGCCACCCAGAGTGATGTGCTCACTCGCCACATCTTGCAGGGCAGCTCGTCGCGCCGGCAATGCATGCGGTGCCATGGCGTAACAGAAGCCCGCCACCTGTGGTCAAGCGCCTGGATCCACGGCTGCCCATGCGGCGGCCGCTGGAAAACGGTCTACCGCGGCTAGCGTTTACTCGTACTCGTACTCGTACTCGTACTCGTAGGTGTGCGGCGGGCGACCGCCGCTCTCGGCCGGCTCGGGCGCTACCCGCAGCGTCTCGATCGCCTGCACAGGCGCCTTGCTCCGCGCCACCATCCGCGCCCGCATCTCCTCCCGCTCGGTAAACTGGAACGGCTCGGGAATGATCTCACCGGTACGCGACCGCCGTGCTGCGACCCGCTTTCCACGGACCCGCGCTTTCTTCTCCTCCTTCAGCATACGCGCCTTCTTCATCCGCGCCACAAACTTGCTCATCGAGTTTTGTGCGAGCTCTGCCGACGACCTCGCCTTGAGGCTCTCTGACTTGCGCTCGCCTTGTCCCCCTCGTTGGCCGTCCGCCGATCGACCGGCTGCGGCTCGGGCAAGGGAGGGGAGGTCGGGTCTGACTTTGCCTGCCCACGGCCACGGCCGCGCCCACCACGTCCACCACGTCCGCCACGTCCACCACGTCCACCACGTCCACCACGTCCACCACGTCCGCCACGTCCGCCACGTCCACCGATCTGGCCCCGGCCCCGGCCCCGGCCCCGGCCCCGGCCCAAACCTCGCCGAATGGGCCGTGTTCGAGATGGCGACTCTTCGCCTTCGTCGCTCTCGTACACATACTCGTAGTCAGGATCGGATCTATCACCACCGCTTCTTGCACCGGGGCGCGCTTCAGCGGCGAGACGCGACTGCGCCGCAACCCGGACCGTAGAACTTGGGGTGCGGCGGAGCGGATGGTTGACCTTGGGATGAAATGTGAGCTCTTCGTCTTCGGGATCGGCCTTGGACGCCGCGAGCTGGGCGAGGCGCGCCTCCTTGGCGGCGAGCCACTCCTTGTTGCGTTTCTCAAACGAGGGCAGCTCGTCGACAAGGTCGCTGCGGCGTGAAGCAACCTGCGGGCGGAATGGATGCGAGGACTTGAATCGTCGCTCGGCCTGGCGGGCGAGGGCGATGCGCTTGGCCTCCTGCTCCTGTCCGCGGCGGTACATGTGCTCGGTCCGGTACGCCCCCATGTAGTCAAGCCTGTCCTCATCGCGATCTGCGGTGAGCTTGGCTGAGCGCGAGTTGATCTTGGGTCGAAATGTGCACTCCTCGTAGCCCTTGAGCTTGCGGACCTTGTGCCCGCGGACCGAGCCCGAGGCCGACGAGTTGATGGCCGACCCGTCGAGCGAGCTGATTTCCGACGGCGCCAATGCCGGCGGGATCCGGTCTCTCACCGACGGCTTACCCTGCGCCAGCCGCTTCGACCGCTTGTTGATCGCTGGCTTGAACGTCAGCTCTTTGTCCACCTCACCGCTGTGGTGTCGCTTCCGCGCCGCCGCCGCCACCGCCGCCGCCGCAGACGCCGGCCGCCGCCGCCCACCAGCAGACCCCCCCCTGCCACCGGCCACCGCCGCCCGCGGCCGGCGCCTCTCGTCGTCTGCGCCACCACCTCCGCCTCTGCCACCGTCACCACGATCACTTCCGCCTGCCGTGGCGACGCGACTGTTGCGTCCCGGCTGCTTCGGTCGCCCTCTGCTTGGCTGCAGACGGGCGGCCGGTGGCGCTGGACCGTAGGCCTTGCCCAAGGCTCGGGCCTCAGCCAGCAGGCCCGGCGGGAGCGGCAGAGAGAGCCCATCGGGGGACTTTTGCATGAGCAGCAGGGCGTGCTGCTCGAGTTGGTTGCGGCTGCGGAGAAGGGGGAGAGGAGGGGAAGGGTATGAGTGCCAGAGCCAGGGTAGGGGGGTAGGGCGTAGGGTGGGGAGAGGGTACCGGGGTGCCACCTACATCTGCTGCGCCCACTCGGACGTCCGCACATCACCAACCATCTCTGCCTAGTGTGGCGTGTGCAAGAGCTTGCGAGAGAGTGCGGTGTTTCCGCCTTTGCCTTCTCCGGCCTGCCCTCTCGCAGCTGCCGCTCGGCGCGACGGGGCATTGGTGGCGAGGACATGTCAGCCTGGCCTCAATTTTTTCCCATCCCCACCCCCCACCCCCCACCCCCCACTCCAGACCCTTTTCCTCAAACAGCTGCCGCACGCAGGCGTTCCCGGAACCACTCCCCCCCTCCTACCCCCCACGACCCCAACCCACGCCACCTCCCCCCCCCCCGCCCTCCCCCCCCCTTCCCATGAACACCATTCACCTCTTCACCTTTGCTCTCACCCTGCTCCTCGCGACGGGCAGTTGCACCGCTCTCTACGGGACGTACATCTCGGCGTTGAGCGGCTCCTCATGCCGCACTGTTCTCTCCCTTGACCACCTCCACTTCTACGCCGTCAACACTGGCTCGTGCGCGGGTGTGTATCTCGGGACGTACACGACTGCCGGTGGGAGCGCGGAACTCCCTGCCGCCCTCATCGTCACCTACGCCTACGTCCCCTCCTCGGCCTCCAACCTGTTCACCGTTGGCGATGCTGTCACCTATCGCGTCACCCGCTCCGGCTCCTCAGGCTTTACTCTCGTCAACGCCGAGCGCTCCATCGACACTGCCTTTGCCCCTGTCGACACCTCGTCCACCCCGCCCGGCTTCAGGGGCATCTGGCTCAAGCCAGCCGACAGCTCGTCGGCCCAGTACCTCCAGCTCCTCGACAACATGTTCATCTCGTATGTCATGGATCCCGAGCCGCGCGCCTTCCTCGGCTCGTACCACTTTGCTGGGGGATCGTCGTCCGAGATGACCGTCTCATACGGCCTCGCCGATCCGCCGTCCTCGCCCATCACGGCGGGCGCGTCGATCACGTTTACCGTCTCCACCCCAACCTCGGGCTCGGGCCTCAACTTTGCTAGCTCTGACCTCCAGACCTCCACCACCTTCTCCAGCCGCGTCGAGGACTCGTCCAACCTTGCCGGCGTCTGGCTTGATCCAAGCGTCGAGCACGGTTGCCAGCGCGCTGTTGTCTTTGCCGCAGGCATCTACCGCTCCTTCCGTGCAAACTGCCCCGATCCGACCAACACTTTTATGAACCTCGGCGTGTACTCGGCCAACACCGCCGACGGCTCCTTCGACGTCACCTACACCTACACCTCGGACGGCCGCATCACTCCGTCGTCTACAAAGGGCATTACCATGAACTACACCGTCAACGCTGCCAACACCGAGCTCCGCCTCACCAACGCCGCCAACAACCTTGACCTGACCTACTACCGTGTTTCGAGTGCAAAGACCTCGATCATTGCCTCCATCATCCTCGACGGCGACCTGGCCTCCTTCAACCGCGCTGACTTTATCAACGCCCTCGCTACCGCTCTCGGCACAAAGCCTGGCCTCCTCGCCGTTGTCGCTGTCAAGTCTGGCTCCATCGTTGTCGACGTCTCCATCGGTGATGACCCCGTGGGCGGCAAGTCGTCTGCCGACCTCTTTGCCACTCTCAAGGCCACGTCGACCATTGGCTCGTACTCGGTGGCCTCGGTCTCCAACGAGACGCCCGCTTCGACCTCGGGTGCTGCTGCGTTCCGCCCCACCGCCATCTCGGCGACCCTCGCTGTTCTCACTTCCCTCGCCCTCATCTTTGCGTCCTAGCTACGTCCAAGCTGCGTCCGAAGCATGTTGTTCACTTTGAGACGCGAAGCCATGCGTGCTACCGAGGTGTTACTGCTGCAGCTTCCGAACAAACACATCCAGTTCCAGTGCCGATTCGGACTCAATTCGCTGCTCCCCGAGCCCGTCGGCCGCGCGTCCGCTTCCGTGCAGGAGAAGAACAGCCGAGTTGGCGCTGTCGCGATCGATGCCAGCCACGGCGTGTCGCGCCACCACCCAGGTCGCACTGCGGACAGGAGTCGAGCCGCCGGCAAACGCCTCCGGATCCGCGGCCTCCAGCAACGCACTCGGCACATCAAGCGCCACAACGTGCCGGCTTGTGGCAGCAACGACACGGACAACGTCCGACTCGTTGTTCGCCTTCTCTTCCCCCCTCGACTGCACTACCGCTACGATCCGATCCGGCCGCCGGCCACACAGCCGCCCACCGTCCACGGACCACACCAGCGCCTGGACGAGCGCCTCGCGAGCAGAGTAACACGCCACCACACCATGTGCGCCCAGCACTCGCTGCAGCCGCACCCGCACCACTGGCCGCACAAACGCTGACGAAGACAGCAGCCGCGATGCCGCCACGCGACATCCCGCAGACGTCGCCGTCGCCATGTCCAGAATGCCCACCGCCGGCCGCACAACCGTGCCCAGTGCGCCGTGTCCGAGCCCACGAAGTGCTCCCCCTACGCCGCCCTCGCGGTAGCCAGTCAGCGGGCTGCGCACAAGCCCAGACGCGCCCTCAACCATCCCGCGCGCAAACAGCCCGGCGCCGAGCGCCATGCCATCCACAAACCCGCGCGGATGCACAGCCCGCAGTCGCTCCCGCGCCCGCACTCCCTCGGGCGCTGCTTCGCCCGGCGCCGCTACCACCGCCAGGCCCTTGGCCAGCGAGTTGGCAATCGAGTTGGCTGACGAGAACAGGCCCACCGACGAGTGCCTCAGGAATGAGAGTGCGCCACGGCTGAGCCCGCGCGCCACAGCCGCCGGCGAGACGGCGAGCCCGGAGAGCGGCTGCTGCACAAGGTCGGACAGCCCCTCCCGCAACGCCGTCACAAGCCCGGCAGGATTGCCCAGAAACTCGACAGCGCCTACAATCGAGAGCAGCGACCGCAGCAGCTCGCCCTTGTATGCGTCGAGCACCTCGGACGAGAGTCGCGACGGATCGGAGAGCTTATGAGTGTATGCAACGCTGCTCAGCTCCAGATTCGCCGCCTCAATGTTGAGCAGCGTCATGTCCAGCGCAGAGTACACCACGTCGGTCCAAGAGCTTCGTGTCACACCCTGTCCGCTCCGCGAACTGGCCTGCGCTCCGGCTTCCGCATCTGCAACTCGCAAGCCTTCGTTGCCCTGCTCAAATGTGACGTCGAGCGCGAGCGCGTGAACCACAAGCGACTTAAAGTACATCTGCGCCGACGCCAGCCGGGCTGCGTGGAACGCATCGACATCAAGCCGCGGCGCCTGGACCTCGCCAGCGTGAGCCCACACTCTTGCTGCAGCTTGCTCCGCAGCCGCTCGGCCCTGCGACTCTGGCCAGAACGACTCCCACATCCATCCAAGCCCGGCTTGCAGCCACTGCTCATCGATCTGGAGCGCGAGCCGCGCCACACGCACCGCCCACACATCGTAGTACTTGACCGCCATCCCCGCCCGCGACACGCTCACAATGTGCAGCGTCCGGAACGGTGCCTTACCGCCGCGCTCGCTGCTGGCCTCGCTCGAGCTCGCACTGCTCTTGGTCTCGCCATTGCGGCTCAACCCGACGTCGCCAACACCCCACACTCGTAGCCGGCGAGCCTCCTGAGCCCGCCACGCCGCGCCGGCGCCGGGCGAAGACGCATCCACCACAGGCGCGAGGACCACTGGGTACCGCGCGAGCAGGTCCGGATCATCTACCTGGACCCAATCCACAGCAAGCTCGGTATCGGTCACGTCACCGGCTGTCTTCACCGCGTAGCTCACCTCGCCGAGCGTCACACATCCGACTTCTAACCCGCGCCCGTTGACCAGCGAGACGACCACCGTCGAGAGGTGCACGTGCCCAACAGTCTCAGTCTCGGCTTCACCAACGTCAGAGACGCGCATGCTCTCGGACGCTGGATCAGCAGACACGTCGCGGAGCGAAAGCACATGCGTGAGCCCGTCGTCGTCGACCTGCACCACCGCAGCTACTGTCATCAGCGCCGCTCGCCCCTGTGCATCACGGGTCGTCAGCTCAACAAACTGCGGAATCGCAGATATCTCATCCATTGCAAACGTGTGCGGCGTCTCGTCGCCCTCCACCATCACCGCCAGCACGTGCGGGCCTCGCGCATCGTCCCACGCGTATCGCGCCTCGGCATGCGGGAGCACGCTCACTACATTCGACACGTGCGCCTGCCGCACACGGAGCATTTCGCTCGTTCCGTTGCAGATGCGCACAGGCCACTGCGCTCGTGGCACAATGTCCACCACTGCATACCGAGTCCCGTCCTCCACAGCAATCTCGATCTGGAGGACCGCAACCCGCTTGCCGACCCGCGAGTCGAGTACACGCTTGATCTTGACCAGGTGCGGCGCCCGTGACTCCAGCGCATCCACCTCAACGCCAAGAGACCATGACCACCGCCCGCCGCCCTCGAGGCTAAAGCTCACCGCCTGCTGCGCCAACTCGCCGGCTGCACCTGCGGCCGCGGCATGGAGCGGAACCTGCGCCTGCGGCTCGATCCGCAACACCTGCCCGTCATCGCCGTACCGCACACAGAGCGGCACGCCTGACGCGTTGACCACCACCGTCCTTGGCACAAACGTCACTACACGCGTCAGCGAGCACGCGCTCGCCGCGCCGCCTTGCATATTGACCGAGATCCGCGAGACCCCGTCGCCAAGCACAAGTGCCTCACCGCTGACAGACTGTCGCGACACGTCCAAAACTGCAGACCACGTCTCGGTCCCAACAGGCCGCACCACCACGCCCGGGTGATGCGCCACCGTCGACGGGGCAAACATTCGCACCCCGCTCTCCTTGGTGAGTGCTGCATCGACCTCGGCCACCCCACCGTTTGGGAGCAGCTCGCCGAGCTCGAGAGGAATTCCGCTTGCGTTAGCCATCCAGTACGGCGCATAGATGACCACATCATGCGTCACCGACCTCGCGTTGTTGGCTGCCTCGCCTGGCACACTCTCTTCACATCCGTACACGCTCCAGGCATGTACCAGCTCCAGCGTAGGCCCGCTCGGGAGCGGCAGCCGGCACGCTCCGGCCTTGACCAGCACCCGCGACACGCCTTCTGTTCCAGGCACAAACGGCACGGCCTTGGCAAGACTCGACTCGCTCCCGTGCACGTAGCCGAGCCGCGGCTCGAGCTCGGACCACGCCGTCCACTCGGCATCGCTATCGCGCCCGTCGTCGCACTGGTCGAGTGAGAGTCGGAATCTAAAGTCCCCGCCATCGACCTCCAATAGCGGCACAGACTCGCCCGGCGCAAGCACTCGCGTCACCACTGGCTCACCACCCGTCGCGCTGCGGAACGACACAGCCACAGACAGCGGCAGTCCGTTGTGCACGACCATGGACGGCGCAAACGTCACCACATGGTGTGGGTAGGGATAGCCCATCGAGGCCAGCTGTGCCTGTGGCGCGATAATCCCCACCACTTGCGCCTGCGTCTTGCCGAGCTCTACAGCCTGCGTCACAGCGCTTGCATCCGCGTCCATCCACGACAGCGCCGTTTGGGACCACTCGGTCTTGGCCCCATCCGCCAGCAGGGCACGGACCCGCAGCGTCGCCTGGTACGCGTACTGCACAGGCACGGCTGTCATGTCGCCTGGCATCAGAACCGGTAGCACAACGCCATCACCAAAGCCGACGTCAAGATGAAGCTGCAGTCGAACCGGCGAGGCGTTGGTCACCAGAACGCTCGACCGCACAACGAGCTCCTTGGCGCCATCGTCACGGACACGGACCGAGCACACCAGCCGATGGTCGACATCGTGGAGCCGCGGAGAGAGCGTGTACGCGCGGACCCCGACCGAGTCGATGTCCACGCCCTCCACCCTGCTCCACCCGCCGGCCACCTGCAGCGCCACGCATCGCCGCGCCCGATGCCGCGTCACCGGGAACCGGAACTGCAGCGACGCCCCATGCTCCAGGTCGAGCGCGTGGTCCGACGCCCGCACCCAGACCCGAACAGCGTGGCCCGACAGGTTGCGGACCGCATACGGTGCAAAGCCGGACGCAATGAGCGCGCTCGGCTCTGCGTCGGCGCTCTCGCTTCCAGCGCCGGACGCAAGTGCGGCAGCAGCTTGAATCGCCTCCATGCCGCTTGGCGAGATCGTGATCAAGAGCGGCGCACCTGCAAAAAGGCGCACAAACCGCGACGACGGTTGAGACCGCATGTGGCACTCGACCTCAAACGCCCACCGCTCCACAAGCGGCTCCCACTCGGCAACAAGCGAGTTGAAGTGCTCCGCCGAAATCACGCCCGAGCCATGCACGTTGAGTCCGCGAGTCCACGAGTCGGCAACCACTTCGACATCACTCGCTACAATCTCCACAATGTCGCGACACCGCGATCCAGCATCGTCAACGAGCTTGAATGAAGCCGAGACCAGTGCCAACCTTGCCTCTTCAACTCGTCGGATACGGGCAGGAGTCGGCACCGGGGCTTCCACCTCAGTCGACACTGGCGAGCTGTCCTTGCTCGCCCCGCCCAAACTCGCGAGCTGGTTCACGAGCGTCATGCACGTCCGCAGCTCTCGTGCCGTCAGCCGCACGTCCACTGCACGCGGAAAGGCCAGCTCGACCCGCACTGACCGGCCACGGTCGCGATATGCCGCGTTGATATCAAACGGCGAGACCATCGAGGTCTCTGAAGAGTGGGCCTTACCCATCCGTGTCACAAACGCCTCCAGCCCCGAACCCGCAACTTGCATGTTGCCCATGTGCCCGTGGCGGTTGTCCGTGATGCAAACCGCAGCAGCGCGCCACGTCGCAGCGCCAGCGCGAGCGCCACAGAGTGCTCTTCGGCAGGCGCCAAAACAATCGCAAGTTTTGGTCGCTTGATCGCGAGGGTGAGTTGCAACACGCTCGGCGAAGTGACCACCTCTGCCTCCTCTGGCTTGTATGCCTGGCCACTGGCACCGCCTATGCTCGGTGACGGCGGCGGGAGTCCCATGCCCGACAGCGACCGCGAGTCGATCCGGCGAGTGGTAGCGCTTCCAGAAGTGTCGCGCACATAGCCATCGCGCGCCTGTCGACGCAGCCTCTGCGTCATTGACCGCGGCTCGGCACCCGACGCTACGGCCCGGCTCGTACGCTCGACGACCTCACTCCGCTCTCTCGCATTCGCGGCATTGGTACCGCTGCCAGAAGTGGTGGTCCCCGGCGCCTCGCCGTCGGCGTCTGGCACGTAGGCGAAAAACATTGCAAAGGCAAGAATGGCGTCGGGCACAATCGTGATGCGTGCCCCGTCGAGCTCGACACCAATCGTCGTGCCGATGCCGGGCGTCGACGAGACCGCAAGCGTGAGTTCGGGCGGCGCATCCTCATCCTGCGCTCCGGGCGCAATGAGTGCGCGGTGCTTCGAATCGGCGTCAGCGCGGGTGTCGCGGACCTCGATTGACCGGACCGAAACCTTGGCCGACGCAGCGCCAGAGGTTCGGCTCTCGAAATGGGCGGCAGTCTGGTTGATGGCCAGTGCGAGAATCGAGAGCGCAGCGTCGTCACACCGGGCTGCTCCTAGCTCCGACTCGTCCCGGAAGACCTCGAGCGAGACAAGGTTGAGGCTCAGTTCGCCCACCATCGCCAAAGCATCGGGCTTGCTCACATCAGCTGTAGCGCCCGTGTCGGACCGGTTCGACGCATCAGTCCGACCAGGTGGACCCGTAGCGGCAGGATGCCCATCGCCGCTCGGCCCCGTGTTCAGTCCCACCGATGACGCCGTTCCAGACGACGGCGAAGGCGGGGAGCTGCCAAAGTTCTCCGAGAGAACTGCCATGATTAGCGCGTACTCGGCGCGCGCAATGGTGACCTTGACGTCACCAAGCGTGGCACAAAGATGCGCCGGCGGCAGCTGCGCCGACGATGGGTCGTAGAGCGGCGATGTCAGCGCCACGCTCACATCCAGATTGGCAACTAGCTGACGGGTGAGCTTGCCAGCGGCGCCACCTTGGATGTTGACCTTGGAAAACGCGACTGTCATGTACGAGGTGACCGCCGCAATGTCCGACGTCCTCTGCACTCCAGCAACGTCGCCGGCCTCACTGGCGTACTTAACCTCGACCTTGCTGCCGACAGTGATTTCTCCAAGGTCAAGGAGAATGACTTCGTTCGACGCAGCTGATCGCGGGACAATAACTGTCGGCGAAGTGAGCTTGAGCGAGACAAGTGTGAGCGAGGGGAGGGCGTGCACGGCGGAAGGAGCCAAAGCAACGTCATCCTCGTCGACGACGTCCGATCGGCCGCCGCCCTCCACCCTCTCGACTGCTGCCCAAGCTGTGGCGCTCGACGAGCTGGATGCGAGTGAGCCGTCGCAGCTTTCGACCGAGTTGACTGTCGAGAGCGAGGCCTCGGCAACGTCAAGATCGGTTTCGTCGAGCCCGTCGGCTAGGAACTCGGGCATCGATGTGTCAGCGCCATGTGGCGAGGTGGCTGGTGTGAGGTGGCCAAACGACGTGTGCGGCGACGGCCCGGCAAGGCTGTCGACTTGTGGCGGTGTGAGCGCAGGCAGATACGCCGACGACAGCGCTGTGGACAGCGCTTGCACAAACGAGTTGATGACCACAATGTTGACTTTGCCACCGGTGACCGTAATCGTGGTTGCCGGCAGGCCATGGACCATGTGGGTCTGTAGGCCAAAGGTGACAGCGTCGTCGCCGCGGACGAAAACAATCTTGCGAAAGAGGCCTGCGGTCGTCGTTGTGTTGAAGAGAGCAAGCTCGCCGACCGAGCCGTCGACAACCAGCTCACCGGCAGAGAGCTCGGCGTACGCCCCGCGGGCGCTACCCAGGCGTGCCTCGGTGAGCGGTGCGTAGCCGTCACCGTCGACGCAAACGGTGAGGAGATCAAGCTTGGCCGAGACTGCCAGCTTGCGACGGACCCGAGTGTCGCGCCCGACGGCGCCGCCGTCGGACTCGGCACCTCCTGGTGTGTGGTCGTCGTCGTCCGAGTACATGGTCTCTGTGGACGAGACATTTGAGTCGTCGTCGGAAGCCGTCTGGTCAGAGCCAACGACGACAGAGCGACGCCGAGGCACCGCCGGCGGGCGACTCGGGCTGCTTCGGGACGGTGTAGCGGCAAAGGCAACGAGCGCAGCCACGACTGGCGGGTTGAGGCTTAGCGCGAGTTGCGAAAAGTAGAGCTCGACGTGGGTGAGCGTAGCGTCATAAAGGCTGTCAAAATCGGGGTCGTCAGCGGCCGCGGTTGTCACCTTGATGTTGACCAGGTCCGAGCCGGAGCCGAGCGAGCTCTGCGCTCGAGTCGGAGACTGCGCCACCAGCGATGACGCCACAAAGTAGTCTTGGCCGGTCTCGAGGGCGGCAGCCTTAACGTGATCAGCAATGGTGAGCGCGCGGAGCGAGAGGGTGAGCTTGGACGCTGTAGCGGTCGCCGATGCCGAGACCACAAAGGACGAGAGGGTGAGTGAGATAATGCGTTCCTTGCGCGAGGCGGCCGCTAGCGTGAGCGTCAGCTCCGGCATGGTGAAACGAGCGACGTAACCAATGGCAGGGGCACCCGCAGGAGCGGGGCCGGACCTGCCTGCAGCGCGGGCGGCGGTCGGTTCGGAGCCTGAGCCGCCGCCAAATGAGTTGACCGACGGCAGCGAGATGGAGACGTTGCGGTTGACACGCGAGTGGGCGACACGGGCGGCGATCGAGTTCTCGTCTGGAAAGAGCGTGGTCGACGGCCCCTCTGCGAGGTTGTCAGTGAGGACAGCAAGAACGAGGTCGTACTGCGGCTTAATGATGGTCAGCTGGATAGGGTCGGACGAGCCCTCAATGTCAAAGGCTGGCATCTGGGCAGCAGCCCTAGCACCGGCAGCGTCGAGCGGGAGCGGTCGTGAAGCCGCGAGCGCAATGTCTATCGACTCGATGATGCGAAGCGGCTCGTCGAGTGCCACCGAGGTGAGGTGCATGTTCGAAATGGCCAGCCGCCAGGTGTCGAGCAGGAGCCGCGACGACGAAGGCTTGAGCGAGTTGCTGACGGTAATTCGGCCCAGATCGGCAACAATGTGGGCTTTGCCGTGCGACGACCGCGGCATGACCAGTGTCGGCGATTGGACGACAATGTCGAGCTTGAGCTTGGGCGGCGGCGTAAATCGCTTGTCGCGCTTGGCCCGCGCACGGGCGCGGGCCACGGGAAGCGCGAGACTTGCAGACGCCGCTGACGAGCGCGCGGATACCGAGCCGGACGCCCGTGAGCGCGACATCGACGATGATGAGCCGGCCGACGACGGGCCAGCGGCGGCTTCGAGCAGCGGCGCCAGATACCGCTCGTGGTAGGCTTCGGCGGAAGCCACAAACCGCTGGAGAAAGACAAAGCGGATGGGCCGGACCGCGAGGGTGACTTCGATGTCGGGCGCGAGGTCGGGTGAGTCTGGATCAGCCGTCGAAGCCACGTACGATGCCTCGATGAGCGCAGGCGCGCCCACAGTGGCGGCCGCGCCCTCGAGAATGCGGCGCCAACGCCGGCCAGGAATCGAGTTGTCGACAAGAGCGAGGTCGCCGAGCGAAGCGTGAATCGATGTGGTTGACGGCGTCACCTCGTACCGCATGGCGGATGAGAGGACAGCGACCGAGACAAAGGTAGCGTCGCGGGTGTTGAGGCGGAGCGTGAGTGCTTCCATGTGAGCAGCGACCCGAATGGTGGCAGGAGTGGCTGCAGCGCTCGCTCGCGACGGAGGCTCGTTTGCCGTGGCTGGTTCGTCAGCTAGCTCGACGGTCTCGCCAGCCTCGCTTGGCTCCCCTTGCTCATCGCCAGCAGCCGGCGCGGCGACAGAGCCGAGGTTGACAAAGTCGAGAAGTGCAGCAAGCGTGGCCGGATTGAGCGAGAGATGGAGCTGATTGAACGAGAGGTCGACCGAGGTGGCATACGAGCCGTGGACAGCGGCAAAGTGTGGAGCCTTGGGATCAACGAGCGTCACCTCGATGTGAATGAGATGGACTTCGTCGGACTCGTAGCGCTCTGAGACGTCAAACGAGACATTGGCAAGTGACGAGATGCCATGGACAGCCTTGGATGGGCGCGACGAGGCAAGGGTGCGGTGCGGAGACGACGCGAGTGCGTCGTGGATCTCGAGCGCCGAGAGCGTGAGCGCAATGCTAGTGTCGTACGGTCGAGTGTCATACGCGACTGAGAGCGACGACAGGTCGACAACAATGATGGGTCTGGGGCCCGACGGTGAGCCTGCGGCGAGCGTGAGGGCCAGGGACTGGATCTCGAAGCGGGCTACGAGCGAGGACCGATTCGCGAGGTCGGGCGACATGACCGATGATCGGCGCGAGCGCGACGGGGACGATGGTGGAGTGACTAGGGCAGTCTTGCGCGCTGCAGGCGTTGGCTCGGGCAACTCAACCGGGAGCTCTTCGTCGAGGTCGAGGAGTGGCGAAAGAAGTGGCTCTGCGGCAGGATCGTCCAGCGAGCTTGGAGGCGGTGGCGGCGCAATGGGCTCGGTGAGAGTGTCGAGCACGTTGTTGAGATTAAAGTAGTCGAGCGAGGTGAGGACGAGGGCGAGGCGCGGCAGCGAGGCGTCGACGACGGTCTGCGGCAACTGGGTCCTCGCCAGCATGCACGACTGGATGGTGACGTTGATATCGAACTTTTCGACAAGCTGGCCCGCGACGCCAGGCCCGGCCGGCGTTGCTCCTGCGTGGCTCGAGCCGGCGAGGTGAAGCGGGACGAGCATGACTTGCAAGGCGCGGAGGCGAAGTCGGTAGGTCTCGTATGACGGTGGGGCGGGCGAGTTCGCTGCCGACCGCGGCGAGGCTGGCGGGGTGACATGACCACGGCGCGGCGACGGTGGTGCCGGTGGCGGGGTGGGGATACCAATGGCCGAGCTCGACGATGACGACAGGTCCGACTTGAGATGCAGCCTGCCAAGGTCGATGACAAGGGCGGGAGCGTCGGGCCTGCGATTACAAGGGATGACGATGTGGGGGGCCTTGATGTTGAGATGGAGGTCGAGGCGGAGGTGTGTGGCGAGGGCGGCCGCGAGCGAGTCCTGGGCTGCAGTTCTTAGCTCGGCGATGGACTGGTCGTACGAGGCGCGAACCTTTTCGAGGACAACGAGCTGGTGCGGAAGGGCCGCAAAGGCAGCGACGCGGCGAAGCGCATCTGGAGAGTAGAGAAGCTCGAGGTCTTCGGTAAAGACGGCGAGCGACCAGTCGACATCGTTGGAGGCAATCGGGTTCTTCTCCAGAGTCAGCGACATGATCTGAAAGTCTGTGTCGCTCCGTGTCGAGCGCGCTGAGAGAGTTGAGAGCGAGCGAGCTGCCGAGCCCGAACCCGAGGCAGCAAACTTGCGGGGAGCGACGAGGCCTGAGAAGCGCGAGGTGGCAGCAGCAGGGTCTGTGACCACGATCGAGTAGAGTGTAGCGTGGAGTAGGTACGAATCTGGCTGAGCTCGGGCGCGATAGTCGAGGAACAGGCCCTCAACGGCAACCGAGAGCATGTCTCGGCGGTCGTGAGAGAGGGCAAGCGAGAGCGAGGGCAGAGTGAGGGTGAGCTTGGTGGCCACGTAGTCGTGGGCGACGTCGGCAGCGGTGTGAGCGGCGGCGGCGGCCTCGTCGTAGTCAATGGCCCGAAACAGCTGGCTTCGCTCCTTGTCGGAGAAATGAACTTGTCTGTGTGCTGCGGGAGCGGCGGGGCGCCGGGCGCCGAGTTTGCGCGCGAGCTGGTGATAGGACGAGCGGCAGCAGCCGAACCGAGGCCAAACCACGACGAGATGGAGGTGACCCACGAGCCCTGTGCGGCCTGTGCTGCGGCAAGCTGTTCCGCCTCTGCGCGGAGCTCTGCCCTTGCGAGCGAGCGGAAGAAGCGCAGGTCGTTGAGCGAGAGGCGAGACTCGAGCTCGTCGAGCTCGTCGAGCTCTTCGGGGTCGAGCGGCAGGCCGGTGCCTGAGCTTGCATAGACGCGGGCCTTGTGGAGCGCGACGTATGCAATGCGGTCGTGACGGCGCTGGACGAGGTAGGCCAGCGTGAGGCGCGAGTTGCGATCGGCGACGTCCTTGACGACAGAACGGATGGCATAGTGCCACCAGGCACGCGGGTGGGTGGAGGGCCGGAGCCCGCGGCGCGGGCGGAACTTACGATACTTTGCGGTCCGTGTGTAGGTGGAGAAGGCGTCGGTGACCTCCATGAGGGCCACGTACTGGGCGCGCGTGAGATGGAGGCTGATGGGGTCTGTACGAAAGTCGAGGGTGAGCTTGGGCTGACCCTGGTAGCGCTCGATGCGCTTGACGCGGGCCTTGGCCACGGCGTTGGTGGGAACGAGGACCCAGTGGAGGAGAGAGGGCGAGAGCCCTGAAGCTGCGACGGCTGCAGTCGGTGTGGACGGGCGCGGGGCAGCGCGTGATGGGCTGTGGATGAGGTCGAGGAAGGCAGATGCGCGCGGGCCGGGTGGCATGTCGGCGAGGCTCAGCTCATCGTCGGGATTGAGGTAGAGGGCAAGCGAGGTGAGTGAGGCGAGCTTGTGGAAGAAGGTCGACGACTGGTCCGAAATGAAAGACGGCTCCCAAGTGCCGTTAGTCGACTCGATGGCGACCGACTTGAGCGTGAGACCGGCGGAGAGGCGCGGAGCGCCTGGCCGCGAGACGGCATCCTCGTAGCGGATGTGGACGTTTTCGACGCGAATCTGAATGTTGTCGAGGACCTTGGTGACGAGCGAGGACATGAAGCCAGCCGATGCTGGGTCTGCGGCGTCTGCGGCGTCTGCGGCGGCGGCTGCAGCGGCGGCGTCGAGCGCGTTGAGCGTCTCGCGCTTGGCGCGCAGTGACGCGGCAGCCTCTGCGTCCTCATCGTAGTCCATCTGAGCCTTGGGCCCGCAGAGGACGAAAACGTCCTTGAGGACCAGTGTCACCGGTGAAGTCCAAAGCGTGGCGCCCCAGGGGATGTTGAGCTCGAGTCGACCGATCGAGCCGTGGAGGAGGACCAGCGGTAGGCCAAGGGCGTCGAGGGCCGAGGTCTTTAGCGTCAGGTCGTCGAGCGAGACCTGTCCAGCGTAGACATGAACCCGTAGGTGTTCCGGGTCGAGGTCCTCCACATACCGTCCGAGGGTCGAGGTGAGGACCCGGGAGACCAGGCTCTCGAACAGTGGGGGGGGGGAGAAGGAGAGGGAGGAGTGGTCGATCGGCTGGGGTGATGGGCCT